ATGTGATGACTAAAGGCTATGGATACGAAGGATCGACTCACCCCCGAATCAAATAACACTAAAGCAGGTACAGAACTCACAAGAAATGTACCTAAATATAGCACGGGATAATCATAAAGTGGAGCGCAAAGTAAATAAATGAATAAATAGAGAAATACATACCAACCACAAAATCAGGTGTTGTACGGACCTCCTCCGCTGTCAGCTGGAAAGCTCTCCCACGATCCTTTGGAACCTCGACCTTCACCGGCCTAACATCAGTAACATGCAATGCAGCAGGAGTGGAACCCTGGGCTGATCCCTGAACAAGCTAAGGGCACTCGGCCTTCCGATGGCCGGTCTGATTGCAGTGGAAACATACTGTAAAACCCTTTAGGCAATCCTTCGTCATATGCCTCTCCTTTCCATATTTGTAGCAAATCCCTGCCCGGCAAGATCACTCATGACTCTTGCCGCACATGCCACAAGTGCGGCCCTTCTGGCCTCCTGGTCTCGAATCAGCGGGCTTAGCCCGCTTGGCTGCCGACTACGACTGTGCCGGCCGTCAGTCTCTCCCCTGAGACTTCGCGTCCTCCCTCGCCTGAGTCTCCAGCTCGATCTCTCTCCTCCTGGCATTCACCTGTAGCTCAGAAAATGTACGGTAAGACGAGTTCACCACGAACTCCCGAATATCCCTCCTCAGAATGATCAAGTACCGAAACATGCAAGCCTGCTCAGTCACCACATGTTCAGGGCAAAACAACGCCCTCTCGTGAAACATCCGCGTAATCACAGTCACCGACTATGTCTTCTGTCTAAGAGATAGAAACTCCTGGGCCAACCGTTCCCTCTCCACAAGGGGAACATACTCATCTCGGAACATCGCAACAAATCTCTCCCAAGTCACCGCAGCATGCTCTGCAGGGGTGAAACTAGCCGTCACAAACTTCCACCAGTCCTTCGCTCCCAAGCGAAGCTGGTTTAGCGCTAACCGTACCCTCAATTGCTCTGGGCATGAGCAAGTGTAGAAACATCCCTCAACATCAGAGATCCATCTCATCGCAGCAATCGGATCCTGAGTCCCATCAAACTCTGGCAGCTTCGTGTTGCTGAACTCCCGGTACAGCAACGAGTCACCCCCCCCCCCCCCCCCGGCGGTCTGGCAGCAACGACAGCTGCGGTGGATGCAGCAGCAGCCGCCTCGGAAACAGCAGCATATCGCTCATTAAACGTCTCGATCAAACTGGTCTTTATAGACCCAAACATCTCCAGAATAGCCTCTCGGATGGCTGCGGCCACCTCTTCGTGAATCATCCGGCGAATCTCATCATCGCTAACTCCACTGCTCTCTGGGGTGTGGCGCGTACCTACCATGATGTCTCTGAAACACAACACAAAATAATCAGAGACTCATTCGAGCATACTCACACTCAACTACTCATCCCTACTTGCTCCTTAGCATCCTAAGGATTCTTACTTGGGTTGCCTGCAGATCGGGTGATTCCAGTAGTACGGGCCCAATACTACCTTCCACACCCCACCTGTAGTCACCCCAAGTCCTCCTCCTAGGATGCTAATTCACAAATACTCTATATCTCACGAATCACAGACTACCTTCTCAGAATACCTCCTTTTAATCTCATCTAAGTATCTCTTCCTAGATCATTTCCCGACTCACAACTCAGCACATACTCAAACAATAACATATAACACTCATCAAGGCATCTCCTGGGCTAAGGCATCATAGATCAGGCAACTCTAGCCCTAGAATATAAAATACCTATCTTACCCACTAGCATGCAATTTTAGTAAAATATCTCATAAATATCACGTAATACAAAAATAAAGGTATTTTGGGAAATCACTGTTCGGGCTCAGACCGATTGTACACACCGCTTCAACTTGTTTTCTCTTTAAACTCGTTCTCGTTTTGGAAAAATTATTTTCTTTTGAAAATTCTTCTCAAATCATCGGTTTGAGTCCAAACACACCAAGAGGTGAATCTGATTCCCTCAAACCAAGGCTCTAATACTAACTTGTAACGACGTAAAATTTTAACCAAATTTTTAAATTTCAAAATACATTGATTTTAATAAATAACCATAAAATGCCACAATGTCAATTCACCAAAACTCATGTTTAAAAGAAATCAGTATATAAAAACTCCAGGATCCCCTAAATCATAAAACAATCTCCGGTCTGTGTGTACAATCAAGTCGGCGCCTTCGCGTGATCCTGAGAAGTACCTGAAACACATAACACATAACACGGTAAGCATAAAGCTTAGTGAGTTCCCCAAAATACCATACACAGCTCATTAGCCACTCTAGGCCATAACTCAGTAAGACCCTCCAGTCAATGTGTCTCAGTGGAACCCTCTGGTCCCAAGTCAGTAAACTCAAAGCAACAATATTCATCAATAATCACAAAGACAAAATGCAGAATATTACAATACACAGATAAACACATAAGACAACTCAATCACATAAGGATACCACTCTTGGTAAGTATAGTGAGGAGACTCACCTCGTAAGTAAGCTAAGTGAATGAATACTCTCGCACACGAATCACCAAGTCTAGCCTCCTCCTAATCACATAAGATAATTATATTTAATTAACTCTTTAAATTACACATTTTACTAAGTTATCTCCCTCTCTCTCTTGAAGTGGGAAAAAGACCATTTTGCCCCTCCATGGTTTCCCAATGACAAGGTTGACCAAACCCTAAGTCAACAGAAGTCAAACTCGAGTCAACAGTCCATGTTGACCCTACTCGTCGAGTGCACTTATAGGACTCGATGAGTCTGCTCGCCATCCACAGAATCACTCAAAAGTCTGGCTCAACTCGGCGAGTTGACCCGTCAACTCGCCGAGTTGCTGCACGATAAAAACCATCGAGACAACCCCATCCGACCCGTCGAGTCGGCTTCTTGACTGGGTGATTCCATTCAGACTCATATCTCATTCAGTTTTTTTCAAGGCAGCGAACCTCCCCAAACTCTGGATCTACACTCCTAAGGCTCATCAATCGCGTAAAGTTACAGGCTTTACGTTCATGCATGGCATTTTGAGCTTAGAATGCCAAAACACACCCCAAAAAGGGTTTTTCACTCAAGATCACTATTATGGTTGGATAAAGCAGGGACTTTGGGACTATAGGGACCTCACATCGTCCAGATCTGAAGTTCAACCCTCTCAATGAGCATGAAACACTCAAGGTCCTCATATTTGGGTGGAAAAACCCTAGATTCACAAAATCATGAGATCTATACAAAATAATAAGAAAGGTGCAAGCTTTATACCTTTCCCAGAAGCTTTGAAGTGAAACAACCTCAGATCTAGCAGCACTCTCTTGTCCCTTGGCTTGGAAATCTTATCTTCTCTTCACAAGATGCACCAAACACTCACAATTAACAAGGCACTCTCTCTCTAAGCTCAAAGGTCGATTAGGGTTTTCTCTCAAGGAAGGGTAGCCGCAAATGAGGCTATAAGTGTCTTTAAATAGGCCCCACACCCGGGGACTTAGGGTTTCTCATCCCAACGCCTACTCGGCGAGTCGGCTCCTCGGACTCGTCGAGTAGGTCATTAAACCACGTGGCACAACACGACTCTAATCGACGAGTTAGAGCACCGAGTCGTCGAGTAGCTCAAGAAATAAATAAATTGATAACAAATAATATACTTGGGTGTCCGGATGTTACAGCTATAGAACCAAAGGGGATTTGACTAGTTGAATTTTATTAGACAATTTAACCTTACCGCTTTGTTGGAAAGTAATGGAAAATTGATCAAAATCATTAATCATCTCTTGATGATTTAGGCATGGGTGCGATGGCAACAAGGAGATTCATTGGAACTGAAGGACCCGTCACTTGGAAATACTTGTGATGAACAACAATTCCTGAGGACTATTCATGTTGCCCTTCTCTGTGTACAAGAGAATACAATAGATAGGCCAATAACATCCGAGATGATCTCCATGCTTCTCAATGATTCCATATCATTACCCACTCCAAACATACCAACATTTCTGATAGGTGGAGGGGACTCAAATTCAACTTCATATGAAACCAAAGCAGAAGATTTCTTTGTGAATAATGTGACCATCTCTGTTGTTGGGGGTCGATAGGGTATGAATGTAGCTTCAGCAAATATATCATTCTTTGCGAAAAACTTTTATGTAATATAATTTGTATTTATTCACTTTTGTAGGAGATGCAAATCCATTTTTTATACTTGTTAATTGTTATATGCATGCAGAATTGCCACATCAGAATATAAAGAACACTCTTTATAAGTCTATCCATATTATATATGTCGATAAAGAAGTAAAGAACATCTTGTGCAAGCTTGTGGATATAGTAGATTCATTATTAGCTCAATTTCAAAGTTTTCTCAGTCTAGGAAGTCTGGTGTTTATGCAGCCTGATTAGGGAAGATTGGTCACTAAATAGAAGCATCATCGAAATGTGATTGGGTTGCATTTGTGGAAATATATAACTAATTTATAAATATCACCCCTTCATAGATTTTTACATTCCTTTATTAGTTTAGGTTTTAAATCATTTTAATTTGTCTTTACAATTTCCTCATGGTGTCAGTCAATTGTATACACAATATTCACAAGACCAACCAAACAAGTTTAAATTCAGTCAAGCGGAATCTGAGATTTCATTCCATCACTTTCCAACAAAACCGAATATCCACCACCAAAAGCAACTGTGACGATAAAGATCTTGGTTGCCCCAAATTCAAATCAATATGGATACAAGTTTGGGCACCAACCCATGAGTAAAAACACCAAATAGAAAATCCAAGTGTTTATCTCAACAACTCGTCTAAAGCTATAGAAAAAAATCAATAGAAAGGATTTAGTAATAATATAGTGATTCGCCAACAATGACTATGATACACTATCGAGCCTCCATTACTGTAATGATCATATTGTTTACAGAATAGTCCTCTAACTTTCTTTCAACTGAAGTTGACTTCGAGGCACTTCTGCCAATGAAGAATGCTGGCTACTTTGGGAAAGGTAATGACACTGTGTCATTGTTAAGCATAGAGATCACGCCCGACATCTCTGGTCTATCCAATGCGTTTTCTTGTACACAGAGAAGTGCCACATGTATAGTCCTTAATAATTGGTGTATGACATGAGAATCTGCTAGAGTTGGGTCCTCTAACACCAACGCATCCCCTTTTAGCCATAGCTCCCATGCCTAAAAGCATTCCAAATTCTTGAATTATTACATGTAATTCTACTTTTCAAGTAAAAAAACATATTATTCTAACGTAGGGGATGTAAAAACGATATATTACAAGTGAACTTACGTATCCGATAAGATTGACGGTTTTGTCAAGATAGGAGAAGCTTGTATTTCTTCTTCCGCTGGCAATTTCTAAGGTTAAGACTCCAAAGCTGAAGACATCAGATTTCACCGAGAAAGTTCCTTCCATTGCATACTCGGGAGGCATGTAACCACTGCGTAATATATTTCACGTAGATTCAGTACCTTAAAGACCAAATATCACTCATACTTTTGAGGTATGTATTAATGTCTCCATGATCCCATTTTATTACCTCTTACATGTAATATTGAAACTTAAAATCAATTATGTTCCAACCCTATGGTGTAAGATAAGCTTGTATTTCTTCTTACTATGTTCCAACCACCCTATTGGTAATTGCTTCGATCTCATTTTGTTTGAAGATTCTCGCCATACCAAAATCAGAAATTTTGGGATTCATACTTTCATCCAACAAAACATTACTTGCTTTTAGATCCCTGTGAATAACTCGCATTCTCGAGTATTTATGTAAGTAAAGCAACCCTTGAGCAACCCCTTCAATGATATTCCATCGTTTCGGCCAGTCTAGCTGTGTCTTTCTTGTTTCATCTTTGCAATTGTTTTAACAAGTCATTTAAACCATAGTTCTGTTGAAGCTAAAATCATTGTAGAAATCTATTTTAGATTTTTTTTAAAATTCTTACCAAAGAGAAAGAAATCCAAGCTCTTGTTCGGCATGTACTAATAAATCAATATTTTTTCTTCTCCACGGATGCAACAACCTAGAACCCGAACAAGATTTGTATGTTGAAGTTTGGCAATAAGAATGAGTTCATTTTTGAATTCAACAAGCCCTTGTCCCGATGTTCTTGAAAGCCTTTTAATTGCAATTTCATGTTCATCACTAAGTTTCCCCTTTTCTCATAAACACATAAGATCTTGTTTAGTAAGATGGAAGAGAAAAAACTATTAGCATTTTCTGAAAACACAATAAATATTAAAGATAAAAGTACCTTATAAACAGGTCCAAAACCACCCTCCCCGAGCTTATTTTCACTTGCAAAGTCGTTTGTGGCTGTCACTATGGTAGCAAAGCTGAACACCATCAAGTCGCTTCCTTTTCTGCCATTACTTTCAAGATTACTTGCATCCTTGAAGCTGTCAGAAGCTATTAGCTCCAAGAAATATTCGTCGTCTCTCTTTTGTCTCTTTTCCTCTTCAATAAAAAGTCATGGCTTAGAAAGTGAAATTGTTTTGAACAACTCAAGCATACCAAAAGCGCGTATAAAATGGCATACCTTCTCGTCTAAGCTTATTCTTCTTTAGATACCACAGTAGACAAGCAGAAAAGAGAAGTAAAATAATGGAAGCGACAATGGGTGCCCAGATCCAGTTTTTAGCATTTCCTGGTGTATAATTAATTTAAGCTATATATTAATAATCAAAATGTGGACTATATTCACGTTACTCAAGAGTTTAGACAATATGTTGGTTTAAAGCTATGAAAATACATAACAATTAACAAGTTACCCAGAAACCATTAAATCAATCACAACTGTTTACCTTTACTTGGATTTGGAGAAATTATCGGAATTGGAGAAATTAAAACATACTTTAATACAGCACTCCCTGTTGGACTGATTGAAAAGTTATCGACTGATTTAGCTCCAGTCCATGTAATACAACCAGTTCCATTGCTACTTGTGGTAAACCCGAGACAGCTGCAATCATTCCAGCACCTCACCATACAATCGCTCATACTTAGGCTTGAATTGTCATCATACGAGCTGCTCGTCATAGGTGCAAAATCCCCATTCAACCAATTAAATTTATCATTCTTATCCCTACACTGAATCGTATTAGAATCTGCCACACACCCGTCACCCGAATCATACCCATAACAGAATTCAGGAGTCCAAACTGCATAGTTATCCACATCTTGAACTCGGCCACCTGGAGTCAAAAACCACATGGGTTGAACGCCATTGATTCCATGGAAACTAAAGTACCTCTCTTCGTCATTGTATACATAACTGAGATTGTACTGGTATTTGCTAAATGGACTATTCAAAGCTGGCATGTATGGAAATGTTTGATTATTTATATTCCCACTAGTCCAGTAGGGTTGACCTCGTCTTCGAATCATTAATCTCTGAGATGCTTCATAAGTTGGTTCCCAGCTCAAAGTAAAAACACCGAAATCAGCAATATCATTGCTCAACCAAGAAGTTAAGTTCCAGTTCTTCCCCGTTCTAAGGTCCGACCAAAGTTTCATACCTGGTAAAAGAACGTTGGTTGGATAATCAAAACTCTGCCACAGAGTCCGGTTGTCAGTTTCGTTTTTCAGCTGGAAATTACCCGTGTCTTCGAGAGTTGCTGTAATATTAGAATCAGGACTGGATTGATTGTCGGATATGTTTACAAGTGTTGTTCCTCCAGTGGCGATGATCAATTTTCCGGTGTCTGGATCGATCATGAGGACACCAGAGCTGGATATGATCGGTGTGGATGGGTTGGCTACCCATACTTTGTATGTTTCATCGTTGGTATACCAAATTCCTACATATCTGCAGTTTGTGGTGTTAAAGAACCCTAACGTGAAGTTGCCACCCGGGGAAACAAGCTGAGACGTAGTGAGGTTGAGTTGGTCACCAGCTTTGATATTTGAAACACCGGTGGCCGGAAAACTGTTTATGATTAGGATCGTACATAGAATTGTGAAGGTGATTACAATATTCATTTTTAGTAATTTAATGGAAATAAAGATACCTGAATTTGAATATATATTGAGAGTTTGACGCTTTATTATATTATAGGGTTCTCATCTATCAGGAGCCAGCAACGACTATTTCTCTTTTGTCAACGAATTTGAAGAAAGACAGAGTCAGAAATGGTTTTAAATTGGATACCATGAAAACGACAGTCAAAAGACTAGGCTCCTCATCGCCGATCACCGTTCCTTCGTGACACCATCTGGTTCTTTTTCACTACCGGAGTACCCTTCACCAGCAGAGTTCTACAGCAGCAGAAAGAACCCTCAACAATCGTACCACCTATAACCGCCGATAATGAGTATTGTCGATATCGGAAAGGCTGATGCAACAGCGAAGAGCATTCCCATCCATCCATTGGACCTCTATGTCCACAGTCTATAGATTTTCTATCCGCGGTACTCCGTAAACTTTGAATTGTGGGGGGTGTTTAATCAAATATACAATAAATTGTAATAAAACATGCTATGAGCTTGTTTCCCATGGAGTTTTTCAAAATTTTTGAGTGTTTTTTATTTAAAAAAAATGATTGAAAAGAAAAACTACATGGATAATGAGACTTTTTAGTTTTCTTTAAACAAAAAAAGTTTTTAACATAAAATCTTAGATAAATCACATATTTGTTTTGAAGTTTGCATAAAATAAAAATAAAAAACAAAAACAAAACAAAAAACCAAAAAATAAAATAAAAAGTAAAGAAAAACTATTGCAGGTTTTTTTAGGAAGTTTGGACACCAAAGAATACTTTTCACGTTTCAAATAAATATTGTAGGTCCTTTTGCCTAAGGGTTAACATTTTTGTTAAGTTATATTTGACAAGAGATCATTTATGTAATTTGTTCTTGTGACATCGACCATTTATTTAATTTTATCTATTATTTATTATTGTTTTTATATATTTTTTATGATTTAAATATTTTTGATGTTTTATTCGAATATATTGTTTAATGTTTTTTTTTCACATTTTTTTCGCTTATATTTTTTTGAAGTTTTTTTTAGAATATATTTTTTAATATTTTATTTGTCTATATTTGTTAAAGATTACATGGCTACTATAATAATAATTTGTAACATAATTTAGTTAAATCATATTTTTCTATTTCTTTTTTGTTCTTTTAATATAAATAAGATTATATAATTATTATTTTTTATTCAAATATTTAATTAAATAACATAGACAAGATTATACAATTATTATGTTTTAGAGATAAGGTTATATAATTACTATTTTTGTAAAGCTCTTTATAAATAGTTTTTGTAAAAAAGGTGTAAAAAGGTTTTTTAAACATGAATACAATTAATATAGATTAGGTATAAAATTATTTATCTTATCAGAATTAATATATACGCTAATCGGAATTTAAAATGTGTGTCTAAAAGTTTATAATGGTCACGGGAAAACAAACAAAACAATGAGTATTAGTAGTTTATGGTCACAATTTAATTGCTTATGTGTGTCGACAAGTAAACAATGTTAATGTTAAAGGAAGGAAACGTTTGACTATCAGTAAACTTATAGTCATTGTTTGATAATAATAAACAAAGTATGTCTATAAGTAATTTATGATGACAGTTTAAGTTATTGTGTGTATTTAAAAGTAAACAATGGTCATGCTAAAACAAAAAAACGTATAACTATTATTAGTTTATGGTCACGCTTAAATTGTTTATGGGTGTTGAAAGGTAAACAATAATAATGCTAAAGGAAACAACATGTGACTATAAGTAATTTATGGTCATTGTTTAATAATAATAATAATAATAATAAAGTACGGCTATAAGTAATTTATGGTGACAATTTAAATTATTATGTGTGTCTAAAAGTAAACAATGGTCATGGTAAAACAAAATATGTATGACTATTAGTAGTTATGTTCACACATTAATTAATTATGTGTGTCGAAAGTAGGGATGAGCAGCGGAACTGAGTACCCGCTTTCGGAATCGGAACCGCCTCAGAACCGCCTTAAATGGTTCTAGTTCCGGTTTTCATTTTTATGCAACTGCTACCAGCTCGGTACCTGTCGGGACCTATATATATATATATATATATATATATATATATATATATATATATATATATATATATATATATATATATATATATCACAATCACATACATTATACAATATCCTCCTCAATAACATCATTTAAAAGTCTAGAATTTTAAATAATTTGTTTTGAACCTTTAAATGTCCTTATATAATTTTCACTTTAAAAATGAACTATCAATTTTTAAAATGAATTTATAGATAGTAGACATAAGTTGCTATTAGTTTCAAGTTAAATTCTAACTCATAGAAATATTTGTTTAGTTATGGACTTCAATTCTTTGAATGCTAACTCATAGATATAGTTTTAAATGTTTTAAAATTCAACAAATTTAACGAATCGGGTACCCGCTAGTGGAACTGCTACCCGCCGGTTTCGGTTCCAACATTTTAGGAACCGCTGGTTTCGTTTCCAGATAATTAAGGCGGGTACCCACCTACACTCATCCCTAATCGAAATACATTAATTGATTATGTGTGTCGAAAAGTAACGATATTGATGCTAAAGGAAAAACATGTGAATATAAGTAATTTATTGTCATTGTTTAAGAAAATAGTGTACGGCTATATGTATTTGTAACGACCCAACTTTCAAGTCCAAAAATTTCATTTTAATTAACTGACTCATAAAAACATTCATAAGAAAATACTGTGAAATCACATCATCTCATAAAACAATGTATCATGTCTGAAAACCCAAGTCATAAAATTAGTAACATGTCAGAGTACAATCCCAGAATATCCATAGTGCGGAAAACAAAGAGTGTGTGTATGATGTGCCGCTACCGCGCCAGCTCCTTCCCCTTCGCTGAAGAGGTACCTGAAACCAAAACTGTAAACTGTAAGCACGAAGCTTAGTGAGTCCCCCCATCATACCACATACCATACAATCACATAGCATACATACTATCGGGCAATTCTGGGGTGCCCGACCTACCCGGTACGACCATTCTGGGGTGCCGACCTACCCGTACGGCCATTCTGGGGTGCCGTCCTACCCGTGTCAAGCCATTTTGGGGTGCTGACCTACCCATGTCAAGCCATTCTGGGGTGCTGACCTACCCGTCAGTCCTAACAACCGACCCTCAGGGACTATTCCACCCCTACTGCTACTATCATATATATCATATCATAAACATATTATCAGACATATCTGGGGTGTTCGAACTACCCTTCGATCCTAACAACCGAACTTGGGGACTATTCCCCTCCTACTACCACTATCACATATAACATATCATGTCAGCATATAAACATATCATCACATACTGTCAGACATATCTGGGGTGTCTGACCTACCCTTCGGTCCTAACAACCGAACTCTACTACTATCACATATAACATATCATGCCAGCATATAACATATCAGGTAGTAGCAAACCTAGATGATATCACAAAGACAATCATCTAACATACAACTCCTACTCATGGGCCGACATTGTGGCCGTAGACCCACCGCTACTGGAAGGTAACTCACCTCGTACGAGTATCTGCTGATAATCTGTGCGGGAAACCTCTGTCTGCTGCTGCTCCGGAAATCCTCCAGCTATAATCCCCAAAAAACACTCAGTCAGAATCTGATATCTACTCTTAGGGTAAAATGACTATTTTACCCCCAACCAAGTCCAAGTCAAAGTCAACTTCCAGTTGACCCGACTCGCCGAGTTGGGCCGTCAACTCGTCGAGTCCCTAACCCTTTACCCGTCCTTGTCCACGACTCGACTCGTTGAGTTTGGCAACGAATCGACGAGTTCCTCTTCTATATGAACATCGAATGAACCTTCATCCGACTCGCCGAGTTGTATGAATAACTCGTCGAGTTCACCTTCATCTGATGAACAAGTCATGTCCTTGACTCGCCGAGTTGTATGAACAACTTGTCGAGCTCGTCTTCATGTTTTGGGAGATTGCCTTGGACTCGCCGAGTCTGTTCTAGCACTCGTCGAGTCCCATGAACTCCAGGTCTAAGGCTAAGTCCAATACGTTGGGTTACTCCTTCGGACCTTCTACAACCCTTCTAACACGCAACTGAGTTCTTTTGACCCTCAACAGATATGGGACTTTAAGCCTTGGACTCGTCGAGTCGATAACGTCCACACCCTAAATCCTCGATTTCTGATGTACAACCTTTGACCAAATGATAGATCCAAGCCCCTAAGCTCGATCTAGCACGTAAAGTTACGAACTTTACGTGCATGCATGGGACTTTTGAGCCTAAAAGGCTCTAAAATGGCTCTTATGTTGCATTGGACCTTCCTTGAGTGCAAAAGCAACCCAAATCTGCCTTGTGACTCCTCCCAAGACTTAGATCTGAAGTCTTGACCCCCAACCATGTTTGCAATCATGGTTGGCCACCTCATATGGCTTAAAAAGCCCTAAATCTTCCCCAAAAGGGATCTAACAAATGAACAAGCAAGGTACAAACTTTATACCTTTCAAAGACTGCAAATGATGAACCAAACTCGAATCCTTCAGTCTCCTCTTGATCCTTCTATGCTCTTCCTTCTTCCTTGTGGTCAAAACCCACAAAAATCACTCAAAAGCCTTAGATCTTGCACCAAAACACTTAGGGTTTGCTATGGAGGGTTTCTGGGAGCATTAGGGACGATTGGTTGCTGAAAGAGATGATTAAATAGGGTGCAAACCCTCAGATTAGGGTTTTTGTCCAGTCAGAGCCTACTCGTCGAGTCCGGGACCCGACTCGACGAGTCCACTACTTAAATCCCGCGTCCCATCCAGCTTCTACTCGGCGAGTTGGTCCTTCAACTCACCGAGTCCCAGGCCAAAAATGCAAAACACTTAAATAAATTACATACCAAGAACCAGGTGCTACTGTCACACCCCAAAACTGGAACGATGGAATCGTTCGGGGTGGAGGACGTCATGTACAGTATCGCAACAATGCATAGTAGTAAACA